GGGAGGGAGCTGTGAAGGAGGAAAGGTTTCCACACACTAGGAAGCCCCTTAGTGGGCGGAGACTGCGGGTGGCGGAGGGGGAAGCTTTGGAGGTGCGGAGGAGAGTAAAGCAACAGGGGTGCGGGGGGCAGAGCGGAGAGAGTCCCGCAAAGAGGATCGGTGCCGACCGGCGCTCACCAGCCCGAGAGGCTTTTTCTGTCCCCCCCCCGGGTGGGCCGGGGGGGGGGGGGGGGGGGGCAGGAGCAGGCTTCCCAGCAGGCACGCCCTCGGGGGTCTCAGGGACCCCTCCACTCTGACCTCTGACCCCGGCCCACCCTCCTAGTGCTGCTCGCTAGGCCTCTGCTGGGCCCGAGTCTTCAGGAACTGGCCATGTTACCTGCAGCCTCGGCCCACCATCCCACACCGTGTCCCCGATGGGAATTCACTGTTTACGGTGCAGTGGCTTAACCACACTTGCCTGTGGGAAGGAAAAGCAAACTGAAGGCCGGACTTTTTTTCTTGCATTAAAAAAAGTTTAACTGCTGAAGCTGGCTTCTGGTGCTGAGATGTCTCTTCCCGCGGCCTGCTCCCCTCGGTGCCTGCGGGGGCACTGGCAGAGCACCCCGGGGGCCAAGATTCCAGCGGAGACAGGTTGGCAAGCCTGGCAGAGTGAGGCCTGCAAATGGGGCTGATGAGCCCCTTTCCTTGTGCTAGTTGGGGGCTGAGCAGGAATAGTTTGAGGGGAGGATGGGGTGAAGAAGTTGGGAGAGCCTCTGATGACTAAGGACTAGGCTGTGCCCCCCAGGGGCTGGGGGAGCAGGCGCCCCCCGCTGTGATCTTCACAGCCTCTCCTTCAACCTGGGCTCCGCCCTAGCTGTGGACGGACAGGTGGGCGCCCATGGGGCTTAGGGCACTGGGAGGGGTCAGGCGGACAGGGTACATCCTGGGCTCCGTGCTGGCCCCAGGGTCATTTAGAGAAGCCAGTACTTTGAAGGCGGACCAAGCAGGTAAAGTCACACCAGCAACAAAACTACAAAGGGTGGGGCCAGCCGACGTGGCAGATAGGGGACTGTTCGTACCCACAGAGCGGAGGGCGACAAGTTGGGAGCCTATGCCGTGGAAGGGTGCGGATTTGAGGTGCAGTCGGCGGGGGAGACTGCTCCAGGCACACTTGTGGCAAAAGGCAGGACGTGAACAGCTGCCTGCGGGTGTCGGGGGCCAGGCTGAGTGCTCTAGCCCAGGTGGCAGGCGTCCGGTCTGATGGCCACAGAGGCTCCCCATCCTCCCGGCACCACTAACATGGTTCACCCTGATCCTCGTGACCCAGGAGGTCAGCGTTCTCTCCATGTCACAGCCAAGAACTCAGGAGAGCTTGAAGAGCGGGAGGAGATTCAAACCTGGGTCGGCTCGACCCCAGATGGGGCGCTCGCTGTGCTTCTAATGGGAAATACCCTTTCAAAGGAAAAACAAAGCTGCTGGCTCACTTCGTCCCCCAAAGTCTGCAGCTGTAGACTCAGGTTTGAGAAACGCACCTTGAAGCTTAAATGCCGTCACTCCAGCCCGGGGCCCTGAAAGCTTGGGGCAGCCCCTCAATTTCCAGGGTCACCCGAGACAGGGAGATGCTTGTTGAAGCTGTTAGAACACAAAGAGAACACAGGACCGTGCTTCTGGTCCCCCCACCCCCGCATGTCCCAGCGTGAGGTGGCAGGGGGGCGGTGAACCCCCTAAGGCTGCCCCAGAAAGTGACTGCTGGTCTGAGGCTGGAAGAAGGGCCGAGGGCAGGCATCTGCCCCCCGTGCAGCCCCGGAGCTTGTGGCCTGGTTGGGGTTTTACAGGCTGTGGGGGAGTCCTCTCCCGGCCATAAGGGGGTTCAGGAGGGCCAGTGGGGTGCACTAAGGTGTGACCACTCTCCCGGGGACCAGCCCGCACCCCTTGCCTCCTCCCCAGCTCCCTAGCTGGCCAGGGCCCTGGGTGAAAGGCCCCCTCTTCAGAGGCTGGTCTGGGGTCAGGACAGGGCTCCACCTGGCTGCCAGCACTCCTGGCATCAGAGACCTTTGGGGCAGTCTGCCCACCCCTCTGGCCCTTGGGTGCCACCAAGTCTGCGAACCCCAGGGACCTCAGATCCCAGGGCCCAGGGTACACGGGGGGGGGGGGGGG